GGGTTGGGAGGGGGGTCAGTAATGCTCGTCGGGGGATCATGGATCGCAGGTCACCCTCGACCATCAGGTATACATGGACGGTCTATACCGTATCCTTTTATCGAGGCTCAGCTGGAAAAAGGGGACCGGGAAGGGGAATAATCCAACAGCGGGCAGAATGATATAAACGAAGGGAAATTGTGAGAAAATCGATACGCGCGAAACAGCGACTCTACGGACCGCCACGATGAAAGGAAAAACACACGGGACAAATGAACTTTGCGAATTTTGCCGACAGGAAAGAAATCGCTCGTGACGATTCGATGTCGTTTGCTCGATTGAACAATGGTTTAACCAGTGATTCTAAAACGCGCCTCGATAATATCCCGCTAACTGCATTTATCCACTATGGTAGACGCCTATCTTGGCACTTTAGTGACAATATCTGGAACATTTCTTAACGATCGGCAGTATCAAAGTTCTTTAACCCTTTCAGATTTGCATTTTCTTTTAAGAGTAAAAAAGAATATTGGTTACACATTTTAACTCAGTAGATTGCTTAGATATTTTGTTTGAAAAATATTTTTTTTTTAATTTTTCAAGAAACGTTTGTTATTCAATTCTGAATTCACCAGGCCTACTAAAAACATTCAGAACATGGAAAAAGTCAAATTTATAAGAAAAATATGGATCTGCAACACATTGTACCTAAGGCTTTGTGTGAAATTGTAAGAAACTTCATGTACACAAACTTGGTCACCAGGTCTGAAACGGTTAAATGACATTCATGCATTACAAAAACGGTGTTACTGTGACTATTAGTTCGTTATTTATCGCGAACAAACATATTGATTATATATGAAAAGAAAATATTTGAAAAATTATTTAAATAGTTTTAAAATGACTATTGGTTCCTGATTTTATGAAAAAAAAAAAAAAAAAAAACATTTTTCTTGTAGATACAAAAAAGATGCAGTGAACGGGATATACAGTGGTAAAAGAAAGTATTCATACACTGGGGTGACAAGTACTATCGATTGATGACACTGTTTTTAGTGTAACCACAAAGTTTATAATTTTGTGTGTCAGACTATGCCATTCACAGAAAACTGAATTAATTCTGGAATAACTGGAAGTAAATGATTTGTAAGTTAATAGTTTACTGAAAACAATATTATCAAATGATAATTAGAATTACCAGTGTATTATTTCCTCTCACTGTATTACACGATTTTCGAATGTTATTTTTCTTTGTGTAAACCTTTTAACTGGGAAAAAATGAGTTAGCTTACTCTTTGTATTTCATTTCACTTGTCGATGACTTATTATTTATTAGACTCTGGATGTTTATGTATATTGACAAGAAAGAAATTGACGGAAAGGAGGTCGAGAAAGCGAACAAAAATTGGAAGGTCGGTAGTAAAAATTTATTTCCGATTTGCGTGGATTGTTTCCAATGCTTGAAATTCGTATCATTGAACGGAACAACAAAAAAAGAGAAAATCGGATCAATCGGAACAGAAAAGACAGAACGGATGTGATAGGATTGAATACCATATCCTGTGCAATGTAAACGTGTATAGCGATATTGATCTGTTCTGTGAAAAAAAGGAATGGCACGATTGTTTACTTTTTGTATTTTCAGTGAAAGTTACACGTTTCTGTGTTTTTGTAACGCATACAATTTATTCCAAATACGTTTATCATAGAAACTGCATCGTGGAAAATGTTTGTCTAATTATCAGCTTGCTACCTAATTAAGAAATTGCTACCTTCTTCCATTTTCCTCTCATAACTTGATTTCCTTGTTGATTATATAAAATAAAACCGCAATGTCAATTAAATGTAATGGCCGTTACCTACTTTTTCTTAGATCTTAAATATTTTTTATCTTTATTATCTACATTTCCATTCATTTGGCAGTCGATTTTGAATGGGTCACTCAATATGTTTCCCAAAAGAAGGAAAGATACATTTTCTCAGTCTCAGATAAAAGTTAATTATAACAAGACTTTAAACATCTAGGCAAATTTATTGTTTTAAATACTAATTCAAAATAATAAGAATAGGACAGAAATTTATTACTTTACTAGAGGTTTTATTGCCTTAATAATAACATAAATTGTAACTAGATAATATCGTTTACAATAAAACGTTTAACTTACATTAACTAATAATTTCATTGCATAATTTGCAAGTTAATTATAAATTTATTAAACAGATTACAATACACTTTTCACATGTATTCATCACTTCCAAATCCTTGTGCTGCAGACATTGTTATTCTTATGACACCAATTTTGAAAAAGTAGCTTATGGAAATAACAATAATAACTATAATAAATTCAACGATATGCATTGAAAAGGTTTTTAATTAAGTCAAGAATATATTAAAATAAATTTCATTGCTCTCAGTTAAATATTTCATATTACTGTATATACCTATTTTCTACGCTCATTTATACCATAAATACACAAATATCCGCAGTCTAATAGTAACACTCATCAATCGGACGTGATAAAAATTCACGCATGTTCTTTCCACAAAATGTCCACATCGTTACTAGCTACAATTCGATCCTAGCAATTTATTCATTGAATATTTAAACACGCGATGGTTCGTCAACAACCATGCATGCTTGTCCCCAACCCCCTTTTGGTCTCACGTTCCACGAGAAAGGGTATATTTTCCCCGTTGGTCACGTCGAAGAAATCAATCTATGGCTGGAAAATGTGTGGTATTATGGCCTTTCCAATGGAATTACCGAAGGGACTCCGAGTCTTTCTTTCATTACATTCACAAGGAAGTGACGACAACAACCGTGGTCGACGTCGGGAAGAATTGCGGGAATGAGTGATCATAAAGTTACATTGTATATTTTGCATCGGTTAGACTTGCAGGTCGAAGACCGAACTCTTGACCTGCGATTGCCGGGCTCGTTGCAAAAGTTCCTCGCGCTGGGATTGCGTTTCCTTTATTGGGGCTCCTTTTCCCTCGATTCGAGGTGCATTAAGAAAACAATCCCGTTACACGCACAAGTATGTAATACCTGTTCCATTAAGGGCTCTTGCCACTCTGAAGCCCTGAAAAATTGTCATTTTTTGGGGAATTTTTTGTTCAGTGAACGAAATGTTCAATATAAATGAAGTGTTGTCTATTTATTAATACATTTATTCAGAGCATAATAGATTTTGTTTTAAACATTTAATAGTTTTTTAATATATATTTATTAATAATTTTTAAAAATGATAAATATAGTTTTTTTTAAATTACGTGGTGCTGGGCTGGGTGATTCCGGGAGAACGAAGCATCAAAATCAAAGAATTCAAATTGATTTTCAATCAGTTGAGTGTCATTATCGTCGAAACCAAAATTATTTTCACCGATAAAAAATAAACAAAATAGCGGAGGTTTAAATCTGAAATTTCGAAATTTAGACAATTTTTTAGTCATTTTGAATGTGAAAAGTATGAAATTGTTAATAAAAAATAGACAACACTTCATTTATGTTGAACATTTGCTTCACTGAAAAAAAATTCCCAAAAAATGACAATTTTTCAGGCCTTCCCAGTGGCAAGACCCCTGAAACGCTTTTGTAAACTGGATAAATTGTTGTCGATTCTTCGGAATCAGTTTTGCCGTTCAGTGTGGAAACAACCGGAGTGCAAATCAGCATTTTTACTGATCGCAGTGTTCAAGCTGAATGAACGATTAAATGAGATATTGATGACAATTATGTTTAATGATAGGATCCTGAGAAAGAATTAGAATAGCCGCGTGAAAGTAAATGGACTGAAAATATTAACTATTTCACTCGACAAAATCATTCATTAAAAAGGTTACTAAGAAATTCGCAGTCCATCATTTTAATAGTAAGTAGAATATTAAAAAAGAATATGTTCGATTTTATAAAATAAATGAAGTCATTATGAATATAATTTATTGTTTGGAACAATTCTAACCATATATCATTAAACTCTCGTAAAAATTACAATCTTGAATTCACGATTCTCAGAAATCGACACGTAATTATCACGCGTATTCTTCCAGTTGTAATTTTTACAATTGATTCGTAATAACTTAAGTCTCAGGATAGTTTCATGATCTGGGGTTAAGGAAATAAATTGTTATCTTTGAAATATACGGTGGGCTTTGTACAAATTTTAAAGAAATCAATCAAATAATCGTGTTTTGAAATATACCTGCGAATCTAATTCTTTTCTTCTTATGTTCTCAGTCCAAAGATTGATAATTACATAAGAAGAATATCATTTCTGTACTGATAAAGTAAGAACAAAAAATTAATAGTGTTAGTTTCAGTACCTATTTATGCAATACATAGTATGTACATATATGCAGCGCATAATGAATAAAAAAAAACTAGTAAACATATGAGATAATCTTGTAGTTATAAAATCACAATTAGTATTTATAGAAACAATACAAATCTGAATTTCTCTGTTATAATTTTCTGTCTGATGTAATTAAAATCATACACGGAAAAAGTCTAAGCCTAAGGAACGTATAAAGATATACAATATATTACGGTCTACATAGCATATTGATCGTCTTGTTGACGGCATGTTTCGAATTTTCACTCACATTACACGACCTCAAGAAGTGTAGAGTACAAAAAAAACCATTCGCATGGCGAAACGTAATCATACGTTTCGAACGTATCTTCCGAATTCGTTGGAATTACATTAATACGTCCATACACGTAATCCTTGATTTTCGTGGAAGTATTTCGGAGTAAGAGCTCCAAATTCGCCCACTCCTTTTAACGACGCATATGTAAACCGGTTGAGAACCCTTATCCGCGCAGACGATCCGTATTCGGGACGCAGCTGCAGACGTCCGCGCAGACCAGCACGCGCAGATTGTGAACACGTGACGGCCCCTCGTGGTAGGAAACGGAGCGGACCAATCCGGCGAGCAGTTACATCCCCGCTCCGGGCTGCGCGAACAAAGAGACAAAGCTACTTGGTTCGTGTCGACGGTTGATGCCACTAGAAAGTCGTTGGCAGTTGGTGGGTGCGGTTGTTCCGCGAGTAAGAGGAAGGTGCGTCGGGTTTAGGCTTCGCGAGAAAGTTTTGGTCTGCGGTTTGGTAAAAGGTGTGTACGGAGTGAGAAAATATAAACAGCGTGGGAGAGAGAAGAAATAAGGTTATATCGACTTTGTGTTTGTTTGCAGTTATCGTAAATCTCGCCGTCTTGTCGATTCTCACGGACATCCCAGGGATCGGAGAAACGATTTGGACCGCGCGTCGAACGACTTGAGAGAGGAAAGAAAGGTCAACTCACGAACGCGACTCCGTTATTTTTGACTGTAACAAGGGAATATCGATCTCTTCGGTCTAACAAAAGACCGTTTCTTTACGAATTCGAAATCGATTAAACGACATCACGATTATTGCGAGACTAATCGGGTTAAGCGAACCGGAATCGTTCGTGCGGAATCGTAGTCGATATTCGCGAAAGAATAATCGAAAACCAACCGGTGTTTCGTTTTTCGCGCTGGAGCGTCGACGAACGAATACGAAGCGCGACCGTGCGACGTGGCCGCGACGCCATTTTGTGAAGATTTCTGTGTGCGTCTCGCGAGCTACAACGGCCTCTCTCGTGCCGTGACCCACCAAATCGGAGAAGAAACTGAGTGTTTCGCTTCGATCGGATCCGGTCTCCTTTGACATCACCGGGGGAAAGGAAATAGAAGAGGAAGAAGAAGAAGGTGGAGGAGGAAGAGGAGTGGTACTATATCCACGAAATTATATCATATATTAGTCGTCCTGGGTCGCTTCGCGTGGCAGCCATGAGACTGGAAATTGTGTCAGCGGCGGATTTTCTGGTGCATCTACTGCGCCTCCAGACGGGACAGCTGTCCGAGCGTCAGCTCGCGATGTTCAAGTCATCATTGACGGAGGTTCTTCGTCATCGTTACAGGGATCACTGGTTCCCCGATCGTCCGAATCGGGGTTCCGGTTACCGTTGCCTACGTATCAACGGTAAAATGGATCCTGTAATTGCGCAGGCGGGCGCGAATGTCGGTTTACTGCCCACGGTCTTGCACAGCCTGTTCCCGAGTGAGCTTACTATGTGGATCGACCCATCGGAAGTGTCGTACAGAATCGGTGAGAACGGATCCATTTGCGTGTTGTACGAGCGCACGGAACCCGACCCGGATGAGTTGCAACATCAACACCAGCACCCGCATCAACACCCGCACCACCAGCATCATCATCATCATCATCATCAACAACAACAGCAACAACAATTCGAAAGCTGCAAGGACTCGTTGTTACTCGAGCACTCGCAGTTCAGCGAGCAAATCGCCGCGTTCGTTTCCAGTTGAAGCGTTTACTGGTACGAATTCACCGATGCGACGACGCCAGGCGTCTCGCTTCGCATCCATCGGACGTGCATCACGCTCTCGGACTGATCAAAAAGCACCATGCGTTTCGTGATATTGTGATCGTGCTCCCCTGGTCGAGTGTGTATAATTTTACTCGTGTGTACACGAACGCGCAATCCCTATTCCATCGAGAAGAGTTTCATACGAATGGAAGTGTAACAGCAACCACCCGCCGTCGCCTTGCTCCTTCGCGCGGTCTCGCAAACGGGACGAACGAACAGCAGGAACAAGAAGATTTGTATTGGAAAGCGGATAAATCGTTTCGGCCAAGTTCTCTCCGAACGGAATTTCGTCCATACGCGTCGTCCGACGGTTCACCGACGGGTCGCAAATTCATTGCAACCACGACCGACTCTAGTCCAACCGTACACGAGCCATCCTGTATTCTCTCGTCGATCACACACACGAAGAAGAAGGATGCTCAACGACGGAAGATTCATCATCATTGTCGTCGAATGTTCGAATATAAAAACAACAAAAAAAATCGAAAATGCGCGTTCGCGTAACGACCGTGTGTATCCAGACCAGCGCGGTGTTCTCTTGCGTCCTGGCGTGTCTCGCGCGAAGATCATTGCTGCTTTTTTCTTTTCTAGCTTCGAGGGAAGCGACGCCCGAAGCGAGACCGCCTGCAAAGTGAGATAAAGAAAAAAAAAAGATGAAATACAATTGGGCGAGCTCCGCCAAGGAACTCTCTCAGCCCGACAAATTGATCTCAGCCTCCTCTCGCCTACTTCCGTTGATCTTTTGACGGGAGGATACGCGGGAGCGGGGAACAACGAACCAGTCTGACCCTCTCCTCTGTTCCCGGGAGAGGATTAACGCGAAACGAGCCTCTCTCCCTCGAGAAGAATTCAACAACGTGTTTTTACCCCATCGGAAATCTCTTTTCTTCCACGAAGTCTCTTATGTACCATTCTAATCGATTACTCTGCAGCCTCTCGTGTTCTGATGTTCTTTGCATATGCTCTCCCTTCTATGACGATCGAAGAAGAAGATAATCGTGGACGAAGATGCTTAAACTGAAAACCCGAAGAACAATACTCGCTTCCAGTCGAAAGACGGGGGGGGGGGAGGGACATTGTAAACCTCTTTTCTGTGGTCGCCAAGGATTTTTCTCCCTAACCTCGCACTGTGAACGCAAATTACCATCGAGCCACACACAGCTACACCGAACAACACGTATATATATACATATATAAACAGCTCGAGAAAATATGAGAACAGTATACAACTTACTTCTATCGTCACGCACGTCGAACATATTGGAGGAACAACCTGTGGAAATTGAATCACGGACGGCTTCTCATGGGACTCCGTTAACGGCAACGACAGCGACCGTGGGTTCTCGATGCATCTTCGACGTTAGCAGTATCACAGGAGCGGCCCCTCTGCCCCCCGAGAGTATATCATTTTGTTTCTTTCTTTCTTTTTGGATCCGGTTCATCGTCTTTATTGGACGTCGGGGGGTCCTTATACTCGGTCCGGCAATTTGTTGGTAACGTTGACACAATAAGAAACAACACGTTACACACTGCATACGTACAAACCTTTAAACAGAGAAAAAAAAATCCGCGAGTTTATATGTACATATATATAGGTATTATGTACGTAGAGGGGGACCGTCTATACGCGTGGAGTTGAACGAAAAAAAAGAAACGAAACTTGCGCGCGTGTACGCCGCGTCGTCCGAATTTGTATAGTATATCTGTTTCGCGAGCGGAAAAAGAGACTGAGCGCGAGCGAGCGGGAGAGAGAGCGTGACGGGACGAGAGTGTGTAATGGGTGGGAGAGAAAGGGGAAGCGTGTCTGGGTGTGCGTGTGAGAAAGAGGAAGAAGCAGGACGAGAAACATGCAAGTAAAACAACTGTGATTTTCTTCGGGGGAAAGGGAGGGGGGTAGTGTGTATCGTGCATGTGCTCTGTATAATTATCCTTTTCTGGTGTTCCGAACGTGACAAAACGATCGAGTCGAATGGTGTGGTATGCATGAGGACCGGTTACGAATGTAGGACCGCCGCGCGCGTAAAAGTGAACGGTTGGACAAGTGACTCTATCGATCCAGAAATTTTTTTTTCGCCTCGCCAATAACCCTAAATGAATACGGCCGTTCTTTCGTAATAGTTCGCTTCCTACACGAACATTCGCGTATTTTGTTTTATTTTCTTTCCGCCGAACGAATTCGACTCGGTTTCAAATTTTTTCGGGGTGAAGTGTATCTATTCAGTGCTCTTCCCGGATTAACGTCAAAACGATTCCACTCTTGATCTCGTATACTACAGTTACAATCATTTATTTTCTAATTTGTGTGATTTCTCGTGATGAACACTTTCGTTACGACACAGCTGGCATGAGAAATTCTACCGTCGCGTAACGCAATTTATTATCTTTATTAAAGTTATTTCCATTGATAAAGACGAATTTGACAACTGATAGAAATTATATTAAATTGTTTTTTTAGTATTACTAAAACTAAGTATTCACGACAAATGACAAGTTTTGTGAGTAATCTATACGTGCATCTCCATTACCACGCGGAAAGTATGTGCAGCAGTAACGCGTCTTTAAAATTTTCAGCAAATGTCCACCTTAACACTTTGGTAACGGGGAACGCTAACACCAGTCCCGGCAGTTCGGTGCGCACGGTTTTTCCGACGGTATTCGCCCGTCGTAGCGAAAGTGTAAATAATAGTAAATTTATTTGGAAAAAATAATTTTCTTTGCAGTAGCTTACAGGCCACGTTGTAATAGTTACAATCGAACTTTTCACAGTGACAAAATTGTCGAATACTATCAAGTGTGCAAATAGACGAGTTTAGGTTACCTACACGGTACGCAGGTATAATTGTTCCGATCGTTTCGTCATAGTTTTCCATCCGGTTGACGTGTCTGGTTTACACGAGGTTTCGGTGAAAGACAAGAAGTGGAACGTGAAACGAGCATCGACCGTTGAATTTTGCATCGTCGGTAAGTCACCTTTCTTTGCGACATATCTGGTTCTCGTCGATACGCTTGCTTGCGTAATTACACACCGCGAAAAGAAAATCCAAGTTGTGCGACGGCGTGTGCTCGAACACCGAGAGAGAATGGTTTTCGATCGGGCGGGGTGATTCAATCGCGAAAAAATGTCGTGTGACCAGGAATAGGAAACGGCAGGAGGGTGGGAAGGGAGATAGAGAAGTGTTGCGTAGCTGTGAGAAAGAACGGAGATGAAGCTGGCCGGGGATTTTGTCGCGTTCGGTAATCGAATCAGAAGGCTCTGTATGTAGCAATTATAGAAACCGTGTCTGTGATTATATTAAGAATAGAGAGACAATATAAGCAATCTCTGTGTGAACGACCTAATTGGGGTGGAAGGGGCGCGTGTGTTCGCGATCGTACGGTCGCGTGTGCACGCGTCCCGATCATACCGATATATTAAAAAAAAAAGTATATGTTTATAGATATGTTTATATCCGAAGAGTATGCGTGGCAATTTTAAACGAATTTCTCTTAGATTTATCTTTTTTTAGCGATCAACCTTTCGCGGATTGTGCATTACATTTACATACATATATATATATATATATATCGAGTATTATAGTTTCCACGCGTTTAATTCTATATCCGTTTCCGGATTTCTTTCCACCTATGTTCCCCCGTTTCTCGTAAACGGCGAACGGGGCAGCACTTTCGTTTCGGGTGAAAAAGAGTTTGATCGTTGTGTGATTTTTTTTTTCTCTTCTCCTTCTATTCTTTTTCTTAGTATTTAATTACCGTATGCAATACGCTTGGCTTCAATGATCTGCAATGTGAAAACATCATAGAGAAACGGGTGTTCGATTAAAATTGCTAAACATACCCCTACCTTGCGAAAATTATTATAGAGCGCAAAGCACGAAGATAGACGAGAGAGTGAGATACTAAAGGTGGAGAAAATCTGAATTCGCTCTTTCCTTTCGATGATCCGCGAGAAACCGATGTGTTTGCATACCGATTCTCTCTACAGGAGAACACAATATCTGTCGCTTAACGCAAAACCCTGGGTGAAAGTGTGAGAGTCGTAGACGACGACGCCGTAGAAATCTCGCACACCGTCTCATAGTCTGTAGATGTTGTACACGTGTAAATACGGCTCGCCACGAGCTGTACAGATAAATGTTCCTTTTTTTTCGCTTTTGTTCTTTTTTTTTTTGTTTTTAATTTCGAGCCATCGGTTGATTATTAGAGCCGGCGATAAACAATGGGCCCGCACTTGTTCAATAGAACCGTTTGATTCGCGTAAACATACACACATATATATGTGTGTGTATATATATAAATATATATATATATGTATATATATATACATACACACATTTACACGGAATACGACACATCCATGAAAAAAATATAAACGAGAGAAAAAACACGCGTAGCGAACGAGCGTGTGAGTGAGATAGAGAGTGAACACAGGGAGAGAACTCAGGCGAGAGAAAGAGAGAAGAAGCTAATTTTGTGAGAATCAGAACGAGAGAGAGTTTATTTCACGAGCGAATTGTAATTACTATATATACATATATATACGCATATATTATATATACATACTTATATATATATACATATATATATATATATACATCTTGTAACTATACATAGAGTCCTTCAGGAAGAATTTGTACAAACCCGCTGGAATAATGACGCCAGCAAGTCTGTGATTTTAGCTTGGTTATATTCAGTATTTTTTTAAATAAAACGAGACAAAATCAAGATAAACGATAAAAAAAAGATGCAAGATTCGAACTGCGAGAGAAAGAGAGAGAGAGAAAGAATTCGTGCAAAGAGAGACGTGTGTGAGCAAGAGAAAGTTCTGCGTGAGAGAATAAAAAAGCGTATAGTCTGTGTTAAACTGTGGTTTGCCTGTGGGGCGAAAGGGGCCGGGGGGGGGGAAGTACGAGGAAGAGGAGGGAGCTGTAGTGAAAAGAAAACGTTGCAAATTGCAGACGGGAGATTTGAAAAGAAAACGTTGCAAATTGCAGACGGGAGATATTTTTTT